AGGTGACCAAATACTTATTTTCCACCATAATTTGCAAATAAATTCTTTCCAAATCAGCCAATGTGATTGTCTGGATTTTTTTTTTCTGATTTTGTCTCTCATAGTTGAGGTCTACCTATGATGCCAATTACAGGCCTCTCTCATCTTTTTAAGTGGGAGAACTTGCACAATTGGTGGCTGGGTAAATACTTTTTTGCCCCACTGTATGTCTCTAAAGGGTATTTATTTATTATAGATTTTTTTTTATTGCAATGTTATATGCTGAGCGCTTCATCCCATTTTTGGTATTTTATATGTCCTGTGGTATAGGGATTAGGTGATAGCAGCTGGCATTAATAATAGTTATTCTGTGGAGCGCAGGAGGACCTCCCTTTATATTTCAAATTTATTAAATACCTTCTTCAGCTCTGTGTATACAAAGGTGCATGGGGGAGCTCTTGTCCATAATGGGCATGGTATTGACACAGCTTCAGATGATCCACATTGGCTCACAACTGATATGATCCAAAAATATTTAGACATAATAAAGGTAATTAAAGCACTTGGACTGGATGGCATATACCCACGGGTCCTTAAAGAATTGAGCTCTGTCATTTCAAAGCCATTGTTTCTAATTTTTAGGGACTCTTTAATGACTGGCATAGTACCACTGGATTGGCGTAAGGCCAATGTGGTGCCAGTACTTAAAAAGGGGTAAAAATCTTTACCAAGTAATTATAGACCTGTTAGTTTAACTTCTAAAGTTGGAAAGATACTGCAGAGTTTAATAAAAGACCACATAGATGAGTTATTGCTGGAAAAAAAAATATTTTAAGCAACAGACAGCATGGTCTCATGAAAGACAGAAGTTGTCAAACAAATCTGATTTCTTTGTATGCGAAGGTGAGCAAAACCTTGGACAGAGGGGTGGCGGTGGACGTGGTATACTTGGATTTTGCAAAAGCATTGGACACAGTTTCCCGCACATGGCTAATGTGTAAGGTAAAGTCTACAGGTCTGGAAAAATCCATGTGAAAATGGATAGAAAACTGGCTAAAAGATCATATTCAGAGAGTAGCGGTTAATGATTCATACTCTGAATGGTCTAGGGTTGTCAGTGGTGTACCCCAAGGTTTATTGTTGGGACCCTTACTTTTTATTATATTTGTAAATGATATAGGGTCTGGGATTATAAATACCATTTCAGTCTTTGCAGATGACACCAAGCTGTGCAGTGGAATAACGTTCTTATAGGATGTCTTCAATTTACAAGCTGACCTCAATGCACTGTTTAATTGAGCAACTATGTGGCAAATGAGGTTTAATGTTGATAAATGTAAGGTTATGCACTTGGGGGCTAAGAATATGCATGCATCATACATACTAGGGGGGTACAACTGGGGGAATCAAGGGTGGAGAAGGATCTGGGAGTTCTGGTAGATCACAAGCTTGATAATGGCATGCAATGCCAAGCTGCGGTTTCTAAAGTGAGCAAAATTCTCTCTTGTATTAACCTCCCTGGGGGTATTCCCGAGTGTAGCTCGGGGTAAAGTTTCAGTACCACAAGCGGTAACCCCGAGCTACACTCGGGAATACCATGCGGCACTGCTCCGCGATCCCTCGATCACTTACCTTGTCCTGCGCTCCCGCGATGTCCCTCATGCAGTGTCCCCGGCAATGTAATCTGGCGGCTGCCAGCATCTGTCTTCTGGGTTCCGTCCCCTGTGAGCGTCGGGACGTACGGGGGATGGAACGGCGGGAAATTTGAAAATGACAAAAAGTGACATTCACTAAAATCACACGGTAAAACATTACTGTATCAAACCATTTCACATACATTTTGTCCCTAGTGCTTTGTCCTGTGCCCTGCCTGCATTTTTACTGTTCTTATTGCCTAGAAACTGAGTAACGTCCATGGCGTCCCTTTAGGTCAAAAGCGGTTTTAGACTAGCTAGAGAACAGCGATAGTAAATCAGAACCACTTGCAGAATTGAGTGATAATGATTCGTGGGGAAATTCGTCATCAGACATTGAAAACAATTTTGCGACTTTGCTCAGTGATGTGCGAACGTGGTGCTAAATTTCAAATTTCAGTGTTTTTGGTTTGATTATATTATTGAATTCAATTTATTATTATATTATTATTTTTTATGATTGTTTATTAAATTATAATTTATGATTTCATGTTTCAAGCTTTATCCTACCCGGGATGTTTACTAGACTCTTGTTTGGACAGATTTAAGTGAGGTATTCTTAAGAATTACAGGCCTACAATATAAAACACCAAATTTCCATGCAAAATAATGGTACTGCTTTCTGCACCAAAAATCTGAAATAATCATACCGCCAGGGAGGTTAAAAGAGGTATAGACTCCAGAGAGAGAGATATCATTTTACCCCTATACCAATTAGTTAGACCTCATCTGGAATATGCAGTTCCGTTTTGGGCACCAATTCACAAAAAGAACATTGGGGAACTGGAGAAAGTACAGAGAAGGGCAAAAAAACTGATGAAGCATAGAGGAGCTCAGCTATGAGGAAAGATTAGAGGAACTGAATGTATTCTCACTTGAGAAGAGGAGATTAAGGGGGGATACGATCAACATGTATAAATACATCAGTGGTTCATATAGTGAACTGCGTGTACAGCTATTCACCCTGAGGTCATCACAGAGGACAAGGGGGAACTATTTACGTCTGGAGGAAAAGAAATGTAATCTCCAAACATGGAAAAGTTTGTTCACAGTGAGAGTTGTGAAAATGTGGAATATACTCCCTCAAGAGTTTATTTCTGGCCAGTTCAGTGGATTGCTTTAAAAAAGGCCTGGAATCTTTCTTAGATACACAGAATATAACTGGATGCCAACGTCTATAGGTAAAGTTGATCCAGGGAATATCCGATTGCCTTTCATGGGATATAACTCTTTTTTATAATGGTTGAACTGGATGGATTTTTGTCTTTTTTTCAGCCAGACTAACTATGTATTAACACCCCGCAAACACCTGCCAGGGTGTTTGAGGAGCATCACCATAGACTTGAATGGGAGGTGTTGAAAGGCTTCAATTTGGAAAGATGCAATGCTAACGCTTCATGTTTTGATAATGTGAACAGCACTGTGTGCTGCCCATAGTATAATTTCCATAGGCATTTGAGGAGCTTTAAAAACACCCCTCAAACACCTGCTTTCAAAGCTAGTGTCAACTAGCCCATAGAGATTTGTCTAAAATCACAGTTTTACCACAAAGGGAACAGAAGACCTGGTGTACATGTTCTTTACATGTTCTTTACATGGAAAAGTCTCATCCGCAGATAAAGTCACATTTCCCAACAGTTTGTACAGACCAGGTGCAAATTGCCATGCCATGCGAGTTTCAAATTGCATGGCAAGTCGCACCCTGTTGTCCACAATTAAATCGGTCATACCGGTGCGATTCCAGCTTGGTTGGAGCTGCAGCAGTTTCTAAAGTAGTGCATGCGCTATTTCAGGTGCAACTTGCATAGACATCTGTGTCTTGCAAGCCGCAGATGTTTTGCAAGTTGCACCACAAGTCGGAATGACATCTGACTTTGAAATCGTGTGACTTCCAGTGAAGTCAGATCAGTGTGACCGGGAACTTAAGCCTAAAACCGGAAGCCTGCCAACACTGCAACCATCAACATTTGGGAGATGTAATAAATCTGTCTAAAGGTCACAGTTCTAGGAGTGCCTCATCAAAAATCACCATTGCATGTGCCCTAGATTAAACTGTGTTCCTTTCTAACATAAAGTCTTTTAATGTGTTTAACCACCTCCTGCCTGCCATATAAGGTAATGACGGGCACAAGGCGGTTCTCTCGTTCTGGGAGAACGTCATATGACGTCCTTGTCACGATCACGGCGTCAGACCCCAGACCTTCTTACCAAACTCGTGACCGAAGGACTAGCCAATCTAAAACCGTGATGTGCCGTGTGTAACAATGCCACACCCAGATGCACCCTGCACAACGATTTTCCAGCTAATGGACCACAGATCGATGTACCGGCAGACTGAGCGATTGTTACTGGGTCAGGTTAATTACGCAATTAACCCTTCACACTGCCACCCTCCTTTTTATACAGAGAAAGAGGAAACTTGGCAATATTAGCTATAACACTATAATGATTGAAATAATTGTCTGCATAACACGGTCATAACACAGGCCTGTTATACAGAGGGCTAAACAAACAGTAGCGTCTCTTTAGAGGCAGGAATTCGTAAATTGCAATAAAGCGCTATAGAAACAGTTCAACACTTTCAGAAAGAAAGATTTATTACTATAAGGTCAAACGGGTGCAATAAAAATATTTACAGAAAATGATGTCACTAAGATATATATATATAAACATACAGAAACCAACAGCACAGCAAAGAGATATCAGAGAGAGGTGAAAGGGTTAAGGTACTTGCGAAAGCCCTGGGTTAGCAGATCCAAGTTTGAGAGCAAAATGCAGGGGTCTTCCCAGGTGGTATTGATGTTAAAATGGGAGACGTCTTCAACTTACACTCTTAGGCCTGACAGCATATTTTGTAGTCCCCAGCCGGGGGTGTTTCTGAAATCAAGGACCAATCCCCGCTTAGGGCGTGGAGATATGGGAGGATGCCTTAACTAGAGCAAAAATCTCCCTTAACTCATATTTTGGTCCATAACTGTCCATCTGCACAAGGGACATTCCACCCGCGGGTAGATTATTATGCAGACAGGTCTGAGGATTAATTATATATGAATTATGAAAGTGTGCACTGAACGGTTCACAAGATCTATTTTTCTGCTTTCCTGTGTATCCGAGACAAGGCGAGTGACCCATCAAACTGTTCGCCTGCTCATCGTCCATCTGACGATATGTCCGGTTTTTATGTAAATCTCTCATATTCCAAGATATGAGACATAGGGGAAACATGGATTTTGAGACGTGTTATCTGATTCTGTCACCTATGCTGAGTAGGTTTTATTAGGTTGGAATCTCTCTCAACTGAGAAAGCTTGCCTTATCTCTTCCGAGGTGTGACATGACACAGCGGATCACCGATCAACGGAAAGAGCCGAAGATGGCGGCTCGGTCATGTGATCAGCTGTGTTCAATCACAGCTGATCACATGTAAATAGGGAAATGCCGGTTATCGGCATTTCTCTCCTCTCGGCTTTACTCAAAGGGGACATGTGCACTAATCATCAGGGCACTGATGATCAGTGTGCCCTGATGATCAGTGTAGCCCCAGCAGTGCCACCTGTCAGTGTCCATCAGTGCCAGCTGTCAGTGCTCATCCATGCCACCTGTCAGTGCCACATCAATGCCACATATCAGTGCCTACCAGTGCACATTAATGCCACATATCAGTGCCCATCTGAGCTGCCTTTCAGTGTTACCTATCAGTGCCAGTCAGTGCCAACTATCAATGCCAGTCAATGCCACCTATCAGTGCCGCCTATCAGTGCGCATCAGTGCTGTCTATCAGTGCCCGTCAGTGCTGCCTATCAGTGCCACCTAACAATGCCAGTCAGTGCCACCTATCAGTGCCAGTCAGTGCTGCCTATCAGTGCCATGTATGAGTGCTGCCTTTCAGTGCCCATCAGTGATGCCCGTCAATGCCCAGTGCCACCTACCAGTGCCTCCTCATCAGTGCCCATCAGTGCCATCTATCAGTGTCCATTAGTGCAGCCTATCAGTGCCCATCACTGCAGCCTCATTAGCGTACATCAGTGAAGGAAAAAAATCACTTATTTACAAACTTTTATCACAAAAAGAAACTTTTTTTTTTTTTTTTAATTTTCAGTGTTTTTTGGTTTGTTTAGCAAACAATAAAAAACCTAGAGGTGATTAAATACCACCAAAAAAAATCTCTATCTGTCTCAAAAAAATGATAACAATTTCATATGGTTACAGTGTTGCATGACCGCACAATTGTCATTCAAAGTGTGACAGCGCTGAAAGCTGAAAATCGGCCTGGGCAGGAAGGGGTATACGTGCCCTGTAGGCTAGTGGTTAAAAGGCAATTTTGTATGTATATTTTTACAGTTTCTTTTGTACGGTCAGCGTACACAACCTTTACATAAGTGCTACCTAAATAAGAGCATCTGCGAGGCAAAATACGAAAACAAGATATTATGGACCTCCTCATTTGCAGGAACTACAGTCTAAAAAGCACTAAATCAGAATAAATTACAAGTGCAATTGCTGAAAAGGACAAACTAGGTGAAAGACTGCATCACAATCTGGCTTTGAGGCATATTTGTAAATGGGCCAGAAGTCAATGGATATATAAAAAATGAATGTCTCAAAAACCCTTCAGAAATGTAAGCCTGCAGACGAATGGGGTATTTTAGAATGATTTTCAACAATTTAAAATGCATAAATGCAGTTCAAAAAGGATGTATCTCAAGCCATCTGTTATAATGTTGCCAGTTTCTGAAAATATATTTAGAGAAAAGTATGGCCAGTGAAATTACAAAACTGTGGTCAATTAGGGAGAAGTGATGCTGCCAAATCTGTCTGACAATTTAGTGCATGAGACATGTGGAACGTCTGCTGCTTCTTTTATTATTCATAAAGTGGCTGAATACAGACAAACAGTAGAGGTTCTGTGAGATGCCATGAAATTTTTCTGTCAAATAAATCTGAGAAGCTATTGATTGCTTACAAAGGTTATTTAAATGGGCAATGCATTTGTTATTAACAGACACAATTTGTTTATGAAAACAAATATGTTCTGAATTCGAATTATTGCCTCAAAAAGATGAAAGTGTGTAGCCAAATATCACAGTTTTTGCTGCATGTTTATGGAAAGCAATTCATATTTACAAGATAGTTTTTTGGGGCAAGAAAGCAGTGTACAAAATGCAGCAATTCATGCTAACCAAGCAATACCATCTTTCACTAAACTGAAGTCATAACTTTTTATGTCTTTATAGTCCTGCATATATTATACTACGACTGGGAAGGTGGTGGGGGAGTCAGGCCAGTTTTGTTACTTACCCTGTATTCACATTAGCCCGCAGGCTGCAGGCACAGGAATGGAACCCTGCAACCACCCGCAGTCAAATCGTGCTGCTCTTGTAAGACACGTGGGGCTGCCATTCATTCTGAATGGCACCCCCACGCATCTCATCCTGCAGAGCAAACGTAGGTGTGGGAACCGCAGGGAAACCACATGGTCAAGAAGGGCATGCGGTTTCCCTGCGGATGTGTTTTTGCAAAGGTGCATGCATCCTTTTTGTACAGGACACGCAGCACAGCAGCCTATTCCAATGAATGGGCTGCCGTGCCTGAGCAGATACAGGCTTCACAGCCCACACTACTGTGAACCGGGCATCAGTGCTGATTATTGAGAGCACTGGACCCAACTCTGCAGCCAATTAGACTATTTGGCGTAAGACTATGAAAATGGAACTTATTTGTACAATCACTTTCTGACTACACACTGTATATATTTCTTTGACTTTAAAGCTGACCCAATATAGTTTCAGATCTATAGCTAGCCCTACTACATGATTCAATTTTTTTTTGCATTGTTTGTTCCATTTTAAAGTGTGGAGGTGAATAAAAAAAACAAATCACATTCCCAGCAATGCGTGCTTTGGATGTTTTCTCCCCTCCAGATGCTTTCACATTTTGCATAAAGACCCTGCACCCCTTGCTCTTTGCAGTTCAGTGTTTTTTTCTATTGTTTGCCCTACTGAACTGTTTTTTTATATTCCAGCAGGAAAGATAAAAAATGTTTCTAGTAAGTATGAGTAAAACACCAGAAATACCTGAATTGCAAGGCTGTATCTGAATAGCTGCCTCTTTTGATCTCTGGACCATTTTCCTACAATTATACCGGAGAAAAAAAAATACCTTTTTCAGGCAAAGATGATTATGAGGCTGGGATAATCTACTTTGCGTGGCATTTTGAGTATAGTATATAGGTAAAAATAGTGAGAAAATGCCTAATTTGTTATACACCATTAAAGGGCTAACAATCTCCAGATTAGAAAGAGGGTAAAACATGTAGCCTGATTAGGAGGTAGAAATGTGGCTGGAATGATAGGCAGAAGAGGGCAGGGATACAAAAATGGCCAGACTGAAAAAAAAAGATTGTTGAGGCTAGAAAAGAAAATATTGCAGGCTCCTAGATTTTTGAAAGATTTAGCAAATTGTAGTGCACAATTGATGTTTCTGACTTCTGGCAACCAACATCTATGGGCGGCATAAAGCTATATTACACCTCTTATGTTTTGGGGTCCAATGTTCCGGTAAGCTGATTGGTGTGGTGGTAGCCGGGAGTACTGGATTTGTGGAGGTGGTGCAAAGGATACACTTCACAGTGGACTTTTTAGGTTATAGATTTTTATTTCACATCAGAACTTGCTGCATTTATGCACTTCATCAGACTACATTAAATGTTCATTAATACATCCGCACATGTATTTTTTGGGAAGCAGTTCAAAGGTTATAAAAATAATATCAGTAATAATAAATTCACCTCTTTTCCAATTCCAAAAAGGGTATACTAGAACAGACAAAGTCAGAGACAGGATATAATGTTCTGTAACTGTATGTGCACACCAATTTTAATATTGTATCAACTATTTCCTTTACAGGTACAGATGCAGAATTTATATATTTCCCAGAACAATGTTTTGGTTTTAAATTTTTATTTTTAACCCAACTGGAAAATTTTCATAAAAATCTAAAGCACAATCCAGTAATTAAATTGTCCAATAGTCCACCTGTTCCCAAAAAACATATCAATAATGAAAAGATGTAGCAAAAGTCCTAAAATTTGAAAATTCAAATTCAAGCCACCCCTACCAAAAAAAAAAATATATTTTTTTTAAGAATCTCATTTCTCCAGCGGAAGGAGAATGCTAAGCACATAGGCTGCTCTTGTCCTTACCGTTCTCACACAAAGCAACTGAATGACACTAGCTCTGTAGATTTCATCTTATAATATGACACATGTGGGGCTGGGGCTTCAAGGACTATAATATAAATGTGAAGCAATGTGGGTCGTATATGTAAAGCAATGCAAGTAAATCAGCATAAAGAACATCTATTATCATGGACTAGAAAGCTTTTGATTGATTTATTCTATATTATTATTATGTAAATGTGCATCTCATATTATCCAAATTTCCTGAAGCTTTTCTTTACATGAGCCCCCTTTATGTGAATCAGCACTCATTCCCCAAAAGCCATTTCTGTATTTGCACTAACATTTTCCTCTTTGTTTTCTTAGGTGTTGTAAATCCTGCAGTCATTTCTTAAGTGCATTCAGATGCGCGGATTTTAGTTCTGCTCCGAAGATGGTGACTGAAAGAAAAACTCAAAAAAAAAAAAAAAAAAATCCAAACAAAAGCTGATAGGATGAATGCCATGGGGTGGAATACATACAATCTCTCTTACATAAAGTAATTGCCTGTGTTTCCTTTCTCTTTCTAAGGTCCTTAAAAGTTCAAAGGTTTTGGATGAATGTGCAAGCCCCATTACTCTAAGACTGGGTTCACACTAATGTGGTGCAGGGCACCGCATATAATTTGCACAGGAATCGCACCACATTCCTGTGTGCATTACATGCAATATCTGTGCGGTGCAATTTGAGCCATATATTTTGTATGGCTTAAATCTCATCTGCACTAAAAAAAGGTGGAGGACCCTTTTTCTTTTTTCTTTACCTGCACTTGAATAGCATCACTTGGGTGTTCTCACCCATCTGATGTGATTTTTGGCAATTGCATTACATTTTGCAATCTGTTTCAGGGTATCATTAATTTAACATTGACACCCACACCAGATCGCATGAACACCATGCGATTGCAATGCAGTGCAGGAAATGCACAGGATTCTCAGAGTTTCCCGCACCGCATCAGTGTGAACCCGTCCTGAGGATGATCTAGAGGTGAACATGACTTATGGATTCCATATTGTTTAAAGTTCCTGCATAACGTTTCCCTCAAAACAGTGTTCTTGGTCTGAATGTAAACATTGAGGGCACCCATAGATTTGTAAAAAAAGTCTCTTCATATTGCACGTGCTATCTCTGAAGAACTATGGGAACTACTACAGTACACCTAGCAAAAGGATCTCCCATCACTAGGATGCATTTATATCCATTGTCAGTGATAACTAATGACACACGGTGGTTGATTTTCCAGAACTGGAAAGTACAAAATCTGATGCAGCTCTGCACAGAAACCAATTAACTTCCAGCGTTTTTTTTTTATTTTTGCTCAAAGCTTATTTGAACAAGCTGATGTTAGAAGCTGGTTGGCTACCATGCACTGCTGCACCAGATTTTTGCACTCTCCAGTTTTGGTAAATCAACCCCCAAATCTACCACTAATAGTTGCAAGATAGCTGTTGACTGCCAAGTCATTATGGATTTATATTATCTACACCTTTATGGATGTGACAGAACACAATTTGTTGACAAATGCACAACAAACCTCTGTGACACAGTGCAGGATCTTGTTGTTTAATGACAGGTT